TTTAATAACAACCTCCTTTTTTCCAATTTTCCACTTGTCTATTCTTTTTGTTATTGTTCTTCTTTCTTATATGTTGTATTTCATTTCCATACAGGAAAATAAGAAATTAAAACATTGATTAACTATCAGTTGAAAAAAGATCCAAAATAAGTGGGAAGTGGAAAAGGATTTGAGGTTAAGAAGACAATCACACCCTTCTATATTTTCTTATAGCTTTGAATCTTATATTTCTGTAATGTTTCACAAACCCTGTGCTATAATTTAAATCCTGAATTTTCCTTTCCACATCCAACACTCATATATGAAAGGGTTGGTCCCCAGCCAGTGACACTAATAGAAGGGAATAAAACATTTAGGATGTGAGGGCTATTGGGAGGAAGATAGGCTATAGGAGGTATACTGTTTAAGAGGATACTGGTATTATGGTCCCTGTTCTTACGTTTATTTCTTCTTGTCCACAAGGAGGTAAAACAGTTTTTCTGTACCACATGCTCCTATAATGATGTGTTATACTAGCATAGGCCCAAAACAATATAATCAAGCAACCATAGAATGAAACCTCTGAAACAATGAGCCAACTGAAAACTTTACCCTTTGTAACTTATTTATCTCATAGATTTTGTTATAGTTACAGAAAGATGACTAACATAATGTAAATATTAAAAATAAACCATTTAACCAGGATTGGGGGCCAACCTCTATGTAGCTCTCAGGAAAAGTTATATTTATAAGACACAGTTATTTTTTGACTCAATGTTCACTCTAGCAAATAAAGGAATCATCAGTGCATTTATCAGGAACTTAGATCAATATTTACGAGTTGAGAAATGAGATGTCCACTAGGGCCTTTAAAAAACACTTACATATTCTTATAAATCTAGAAAGCTTTGTTCATGTGTATGTATATTGGTATATATATTCACAAAAGAGTTTAAAAAGTCCAAATGTCTCACCTCTGGTTAATGTTTAGGCTGTAAACAGAAAATGAAGGTTGCAGGAAAATTTACATTGCCTAAGTGTTCAAGTAATGTTGCAAGATGAATATAAAGTCCTTCTTCAAGGATAAAAAAAGTTACCAGTACAAGTCATTTAAATAAATCTCTGTAAACCTTAGGTGATTTATTAGTTCAGTTACAGTGAATATCCTAGCTATATAAGAAAATAAAAACAGATTTTACAAAATTAGCTCAAAAATTCATAAAACAAAGAGCAATAGCCAACAATGGAAAGATATACTACTTTCAGAACTGCTTTATATTATATAAAATATCTAGTATTGAAAAAATATGATGTACACAAAAAATAGAAAAACCTGGCTCATGGAAGAAAATAAAACAGGCAATAAAAACTACATCTGATGAAGCCTATATATTTGAGATATTAAATAAATGCTATAATAAAATCAGACACTATTGAGGACTGAGGTTATAGCTCAGTGGTAGAGCGCTTGCCTAGTATACGTGAGGCACTGAGTTTAATCTTCAGCATTGAATAAAAATAAATAAATAAATAGTGAGAAGACTTCGCAGGTCAGAAACAAAGGAACCTCACTAAATTGTACAACTAAAAAGGTTGAAAAAAATCAGACATTACCAATATTTCAAAGAATTAACGGAAGCCGTGTCCAAATAAATGAAGGAAAGTAAGAGAATATTGTCTTATCAAATAGATAAGACAAATGTAAATACAGAAATTATGAATAAATAGAAATAGAAAAGTTAAATTAAAAATTCAAATCAGGCAAAGTGAGTGCACCTATTTTACCAACTACCTGTGAAGGTGAGGTAAGATAATTGCACAAGTCTAGGTTTCATCCTGGGAAACAGCAAGAGTCCATCTCAAAATAAACAAACAAAAACACAATATTCATCTTATTTGAGCTTGTAGAAAAATAACAAGCAATAAATTTGAGTAAAGGACAACTGAATTGGGCTGGGGTTGTGGCTCAGTGGTAGAATACTTGCCTATCAGGCATGAGGCAGTGGGTTCGATCCTCAGCACCACATAAAAATAAAATAAAGATATTGTGTCTACCTAAACCTAAAAATAAACATTTTTTAAAAAGGTCAACTGAATTACTCTGTGAAATAAAAAGGAAATCAAACATACTAATGTATAAAGCCAGAAAAAAAGAGAATGTTTGAAGAAAAATAAAACTGTCCAAATGTAAGGCAAGTCATTATCTACACATTATAAGACTAATGAGCTCTAAGTAGGATAATGTACAGAAATACACCTACACATATCAGAATATTTAAAAGATAAAGACAAAGAAGGAAGCTTTAAAACAGCAATCCTTAATAAAACTAGAAATTATGGAGGCCAGAAAAAATTAAGATGAAAGAATAAAAGGTCATCCAAAAATTCTCTATATAACAAAATTATTAATAAAAATTGAAGGAGAATTTAGAACAGTCCCAGAAAACAAAACCTACAAGAATCTGTTGGCAAATAACCTACCCCACAAGGAAAACTAAATACAGCCTTTCAGTTTACATAAAAGAATAGAATGCTATTCAAATCCACATGAATGAAATAACTAGGACCAGTAAAATAAGTATCAGGCATTTACAAAACAAGGCAGAATAGAGAAAGAGAGCACAGCCCAGAAGTTCCTCAGCCCTAAATATATAAAAACAGGAAGACTTCTCCTCTATGAGGTCAGAAACAAAGGAACCTCACTAAAACAGTATGAAATTAAGGTCCAGTACAAATGGCAGGATCTGCATCTCAGTGGTGGCAAAAAAGATCTTCCATAAAATACAGCATCCATTCGTGTTAAAAACATTTAAGAAACTAGGGATGGAAAGAACTTACCTCAATATCATAAAAGCTATTAATGATAAACTCAAAGCCAATATCACGCTAAATGGAGAAAAACTAAAAGCATTTAAGAACAAGAAATAGCTATCTACTCTCACTCACCACTCCTATTCAATATATTCCTCAGAACATTAGCCAGGGCAATCAGGCAAGAGAAGAAAACCAAAGGGATACTGATAGGAAAATAATAAGTGAAACTATCTGTGTCTGCAAAAGACCCCCAAAAAATCCTACCACAAGACTTTAATGAGTTCTGCAAAGGAACAGGATACAAGATAAATGACCATAAATTAATACCTTTCCAATAGTAATTTAGCCAAGGAATAAATCAGGAAAATCATCCCATTCACAATGAACTTCAAAAAAAAAAACTTGGAAATTAAACTAACCAAGGAGATAATAAGAGCTCTACAATGAAAATAATAGAATACTGAAGAAATAAACTGAGGAAGAACTTAGAAGATGGAAAGATATTCCTTGTTTTTGGAGAGACAGAATTACTATTGTCAAGATGGCCATATTACCAAAAGTAATGTACATAATAAATGTAATCCCCATTAAAATACCAATGATATTCTTCATAGAATTAAAAAAATAATAATTAATTTGGAAGAATACGAAACCCAAAACAACCAAAGAGACACTGAGCAAGAAAAGCAAATCAGGAAGCATCACAATACCTGATCTGAAATTATACTACTGAACTGTAGTAACAAAAACAACTTGGTAGTGGTATCAAAATAGACATAAAGACCAATGGAAAAGAATAGAAGACACAGACAAAATAACATACTTACATTATAGTCATCATATGCTGGATAAAGTTTCCGAAAATATACTCTGGAGAAAAGACAGCCTTTTTAACAAATGGTGCTGGGAAAAGTATACAGCCGTATGTAGAAAAATGATATTAGATCCCTATCTCTCACCCTGCACAAAAATCAAATTAAAATGGATCACATTTAGAAATCATACCAAAACATTATAACTGCTAGAAGAAAATATAGGGTCAACACTCAATCATATTGGTGCTTGCAACAAATTCCTTAAAAAAACCCCAAAAGCACAAGAAATAAAACCAAAAATCATGAAGTTGGAAGCCATCAAGAGTTTCTGCACAGCAAATGAAACCATTAAGATAAAGAGGAGGCCTTAAAAATGGGATACAATCTTTGTCAGCTCTTCTTCTGATAGAGGATTAATATATAGAAAGTATAAAAATGAATTCAAAAAACTTAACGTCAAAAAAAACCCCAATCAATAAATGTGCAAAATAAATAAATACAAAATTCTCAAAAAAAGAAACACAAATGTTCAACAAATACAGGAAAAAAAGTTTAACATCTCTAGTAATCAACAAATCAAAACTATACTTTCATTTTTATTTCAGTCAGAATTGCAATGGTCAATATTATAAAATAATAATACAGTATTATTGACCATTGCAATTCTGACTGAAATACTCCGTTGTTGGTAACTGCAGACTAGTACATCCATTCTAGAAAGCAGTATGGAGATTCCTCAACACACTAGGGATGGAATCACCACATGCTCCAGCTATCCCACTCTTTGGTATTTTCCCAGAACTAAAATCAGCATAATACAGTGATACAACACAATTCACAATTAACCCAGGTGCCAGTCAAAAGATGAATGGACTAAGAAATTGTGATATATAATATACACAATGGATTCTAGTCAGTCACAAAGAACAATATAATTATGTCACTTGCCAGAATGGGTGGAAATGGTGAACATCATGCTAAGTAAAATAAGTCAAACTCAGAAACTCAAAGGTTGAATGTTTTCTCTCATATGTAGAATCTAGAGTAAAATAAGTGAAAAGTGGAAAGAAGAATAGGATATCATAAAGCAGAAGGAAGATCAGTAGTGTAGAAGAAGGATAACCATAGGTAGAGTGGAAGAATGGGAAAGGGGAGACAATATGGAATATAGTCTTAAAATATCACATTATGTCAGCTGGGCACATTGGCTCAAGCTTGTAATCCCAGCAGCTCAGGAGGCTTAGGCAGGAGGATTGCAAGTTCAAAGCCAATCTCGGCAACAGGAAGGTGCTAAGCAACTCATTGAGACCCTGTCTCCAAATACAAAATAGGGCTGGGGATGTGGCTCAGTGGGCGAGAGCCCGAGTTCAATCCCTGGTACCCCCAAACATTATGTACATATATAAATATACCACTGGTAATTACATGGTTATATATAACTTTATGCATAAGTAAAATGAAATAATCAAATGTAAATAAACAGATGATCACAAGGAAGTCTAGCAGAGTACAGGAAGGAGAATGGGGGCGGTACAGGGTATTGGGGGGCAGGGAAAACAAGGAGGAAAAAGTAGGGGATTGTCGACTGAAATCAAATTCCCTGAATGTATGTGTTTGTGGAGAGGAAGCCAACTACTATGTATAGCCACAAAGCTCTAAGAAAAAAAGAAAGTATAAATACACTAGTGATTTGATAATCAGGTGATTGCATAAAGCAAGAAGTCTAAAATTGCCTAAAGTCTTAACAATGGAGAAAAGTTGTGATTTGAATGACAAAAAAAACCCACAAAAATGGAGCATAACTGATACAGCATGTCTATATTCCAGCTATGGGAAGGGCTGATAGGAGGACAGTCAAATTCAAGACCACTCTCAGCAACTCTTCGGCCACATAGTGACACCTTGTCTCAAAATTTAAAGTAAAAAAAAAAAAAAAATGAAAAGGGCTAGTGATGTAGTTAAGTGGTAGAATGCTGTCAATCATGTACAGGGCCTTGAGTATAATTGCCAATACCACAAGAAAAGAAAGAAATGAAGGGGAAGGGAAAGAGAAAAAGAAAATAATAAATAAATACAAGAAAACAGTTATAAAGGAATAAAGATTTTTTATAACACTGAAATTAAATTTAATAATAAATGTAAATTCTATTATAAATAGTTAACAAATTATTACAAGCAACCACTAACAAAATAAATATAAAATCATTGAAGGATTAAAAATTATCTACATAATATCAAAGGACATCAATGAGAAAGTCTCAATTTCTTTTCTCAGTGTTCTGTAATTTTCATCATTGAGGTCTTTCATCTTCTTAGTTAGGGGTATTCCTAGGTATTTTGTTTTACTAATTTATTTATTTTAGGCTATTGTGAATGGAACCATTTTCTGATTTTCTTCTCAGTGGGTCTTTAGAAAGTATTATTAAACACAAAAAGGCAAGCGTGAAGAATGTAGGGAATAAAGCATATAATGCAAAGAGAAAAGAACTAGCAAAATGGCAGAAATTATTCTTTACTATTTCTTACATCAAATGTAAATGGGTTGAAATTTCTTATTAAAAGGAGTAAGTCATCGGAAATATAACTACATGCTATGAACAAGAGAACCACACTTTGATTCAAAGACACAAACTTAATGAAAGGGAAAACATGGGAAAAAGGTTTTCCATATGGACATAAGCTAAAATAGATTTAGAATTCTAGATTAAATATCAGCGAAAATCATGTCAAAATAAAAATTTTTACAAGAAAAAGTTCTACATAGAAAGAGATCAATTGAAGTTTAGGGTGTAATTTAGTGGTAAAGGGCTTACCAAGCAAGCACAAGGCCTGCAATTGATTGAAAATATGTAGCAATTGCAAATATATACTGGTATAATTCAGGAAAATGTCTGTCAAAGGTCTGCATTTAAAGATGTGGCTGCCGGGGCTGGGGTTGTGGCTCAGCGGTAGAGCACTCACCTAGCACGTGCAAGGCCCTGGGTTCAATCCTTAGCACCACATAAAAATAAGTAAATAAAATAAAGGCATTGTGTCCAACTTACACCTAAAAAATAAATATTTTTTTAAAAAACTAAATTCAGGTATTGTGTCTAACTATGACTAAAAAATAAATATAAAAAAAAAATATCGCTGCCACCCTTTGGCACAATTGGCAGATGATAGAACCTTTAAGAGATAGGGTCTAAGAGAGAGAAAGTTAGGTTACTGAGATGTGCCCATTAAGGCCATATTGGGACTTAGCCCCTCCTCCTTCTGTTTCCCAGAAGTCCAGAAATAAGAAAAGACTCTTATGCAATTTGCTCCCCACCATAACATCCTTCAGTACATAGTAAAGGGAGCTTTCTAGCTTACTAGCACATATACATACTTAACACAAAACTGTAAGAAGCAAAAAAAAAATTACAGATAAAGGCAAATTTTTAATAATTTTACAATATGTATATATTTTAATGACTGAATAACTAAAAACCACACCATTAAGGAATCAAAGGACTTGAACAACACTATAAACAAATTAGACCAAACTTAACACATAAACACAAAATTCCATGCAGCAAAATACACATTTTTTTTTTCAAGAGTACACTGAATGGGACTCACAGCTGTGAATCTTTCTACAGATGCCAAGACACAGAAAATGTGGTATATATATACACAATGTAATTTTACTTAGGTATATAAAAAGGATGAAATTATGGCATTTGCTGGTAAATGGATGGAAATAGAGGACATATAATACTAAATGAAATAAGACAGACTCAAAAAGTCAAGGGTTGAATATTTTCTCTCATATTCAGAAGCTTGACCAAAATAAGGGGGTAAAGGGGAGGGGAATCCCATGAAAATAGAAAGGTGATCAGTAGAATAGAAGTAGGAGATTTAGGGAAAGGAAGGAAGGACAGGAAAAGGGTGGAATGAAAGTGATCAAATTATGCACCTATGAATGTACCACAATAAATTAGGGCCTGGTGGCACATACCTGTAATCCCAATGATCAGGAGGCTGAGGCAGGAGGAACCCAAGTTCAAGGCCAGCCTGGGCCATTTAGCAAGACCCTCTCAAAATTTGAAAATAAAAAAAGGGCTGGGGATATATCTATGTTGTAAACTGCCCTTGGGTTCAATCCTCAGTAACAAAAAATGAGATATAAAATTAAAATCCAATTAAATTTTTAAATTAAATTTAAAATGTTATAATAAAATGCCATAAATGAATTAAAATGAAAATATACAATATTATCACCAGTAAAGACAGCTTTGTTTATTCCTATTATCATGGTATTTTTTTTAATCTATTGCATGGAGTAGCACTATGAAGAACAATATGAACACAAATAATGAGATAGCTCATCTTTGTTCTGTTCTCACACTTAGAAATTCCTTTAAAAAAACACATTGTGGGGCTGGGGTTGTAGCTGAGTGGTATAGCACTTGCTTAGCATGTGTGAGGCACGGGGTTCGAGCCTCAGCACCACATAAAAACAAATAAATAAACAAAAGGTACTGTGTCCATTTACAACATATATCACATTGGGTTGTACTTTTTTGGTTTTTGGTACTAGGGATTGAACTCAGGGGCACTTGAACACTGAGCCACATCCCCAGTCCTATTTTGTATTTTATTTAGTGACAGGATCTCACTGAATGCACCTTGCTCTTGCTAAAGCTGGCTTTGAACTTGAGATCCTCCTGCCTTAGCCTCCAGAGCCCCTGGGAGTATAGGCATGTGTCACCACACCCAGCCATGGGTTGTACATTTTTATCCCTGGCAATTTATAGCATAAACTTCATAGTCAATATATATTTCTTGGATTGGAAAAGCAGCTAAGATATCACAAATCTATTTATATTCTATTATGAACAGATATACAAATTACAGCTTTGTAACATGTTTATTAGATTAAAACCATGAACCAATGGTGGGCACAGTGGCACACACCTGTAATCACAGCCACTTGGGAATTTGCAGCAGGATTATTAAGTCTATAACAGTCCAAGATTGTTAAGTTCTATAAAAGCTTGGACAATTTGTCAATCTCCTGTCTCAAAATAAAATTAGACAATTAGAGATGTAGCTCAGTGGTAGAAAAACCCTGGGTTCAACTCCAAGTACTAAAAAACAAAACAAAAACATATTTCAATGCTTCTCCTATTCATATCTACCCTAAAACATTTTTTAAGTGATGAAAGGCTAGAGCAACTTTCACCATGTGATATGAGCTTTTACTCTTAGAACTTACAATTCTTATTCTTCATAATATTTTGTTAATTATCATACTTGTTTCTGGAGAAATAAATACATATATTAAAGTATACTACAAATATAAAAGAAAAACCTAAACTAGCCATTTGAAAAAAATTATGACAATAAATTTTTCAAAAGAAAAATAACATAGCAAGATGCAGAGGTACATGCCTATATTGTCAGTGACTTGAGAGGCTGGAAAAGTGTGATCACACATTGAAGGCCACCCTTAGCAACTTAGCAAGACCTTGTCTCAAAATAAAAAAATAAAAAGGTCTGTGGTGTAGCTAATTGTTAGATAGCATCTCCTGGATTCAGTTCCAAGTAGAAGGAAGGAAGGCAGGCAGGCAGGCAGGCAGGCAAATGTTTCAGGTAATATAAAATCTTTATAATCATGGCAAGAAACAAACTATTTGTTCTACTGATGCTAACTTCAACTTCATAAACAAATAACGATTCTGTATATAAAATTCCAGTATATCATCACTGGACAATTAAACTTATTTCAGAACGATGAAGTGCTTCATGCATAATTCTTTGTCATTCAAAATCTTCATGGCTTTAAAAAAACTTATAAAACTTGATATATAATTTTCCAGATCAAAAAGTGTAAGAAAATAAATTCAAATCTTCATGATGAGAATAATCATCCATAATAACTAGAATCTGACCCAAGCGATCTGATGATAATCTTAATCATAAAGTCAATGCACTATAACCAAATATTTTTAAGATAACCTTCAGCATACTTAGAGTACCCCAAAAGATATTTTATTATAATATAAAACTGCAAAAAATTCCCCAAATTTTATAATTGTCATTCCATGCAAAAATCTGATAATTTAGTAATGCAGGTGGAGTTCAACAAAGAAAAAGTCACTTCATATAGATATCATCCTATAAGTCACAGACAAAATAAACACAAAACTCTGAAGATGGGGCAAATAACACGGTGTATGAATGTCAGAGTATACTGATTCAGCTACTTACCCCTATTTTCTGAAATGGAAGACCTCATTAAAGCCCTCCTCTTCTCTACCTCAGCAAAACAAAACAGGGAAGAAAAGTAGTCTCAGAAAATATTTTGCATAAAAATGACAAAACACTAAAACTGTTTCATGGTAAACATTTAATATAGGCATACAAAATTCTTCTCTTTATCCCACCTCTGGTTAGTCTTTTAGTACCTATAACAGTAGCTGAATCGATTTTAATTCAATTTCTCTTTTCCTCACTTATTAATAGTTCCTATATATATTCTATCTACAATTTCATTCAAATGAGGAAAATAAAATAAGCCATGGGTAACTGAATGTAATAAAAGTACATAAGACAGGATAGTAATATTTTGAGAGAAAGAAAAGGCAATCTTATACTTTTATTATGTTTTCATTAAGGATCCACCAATAGAGCCAAGCTCTGAGAATCTTATTTGTCCTATTCGAGGGTTACTCGTCTAGACCTCAGATTGACATCTGGAATGAGTCTCTCAGCATCCTCAGACAATTGTGCTCATCATTGATCCATACAAGCACCCTCCCAACAAATAAGCATTACCATAGCCAGGCTTTTATTTTTTATTTTTGTCATACATTACATGTACAAAAGACATTTTGTTTAATAGGTGAAAAATGGACCTCTAAAATATATAGCATACATATATGATGTTGGATTGTTCTAACAAAATTAGGTGACATCTATTAGAAAATTTTAAAACACAATATTTTAATACATTGAAATTTTAAGAAGTAGCACAAAAATTAAAAAATGGCACATTCTAGGACTTTGGGAGGCTGATGCAAGAGGCTCACAAGTTCAAACCAGCCTTATCAACTTAGCAAAGGTCTAAGTAACTCAGCTAGGAGACCCTATCTCTAAATAAATATTTTAAAAGGGCTGGGATGTACTCCTAGTTTCAATTCCTGGTACCAAAAACAAACAAATAAATAAATAGCATGATTATACTACAAATGTGAGGAGAAACATCTATGTTTTCATTGTTCCAGATATACAATAAATATATAGTACATTTAAATTTCACTATAAGATCACTTAAAACAAAAAAAAAGTATGTCAGATATTCACCAAAATTATTCATGCTACTTCAAAAATAAATTTTCAAAGGGAAGAAACAATAATAATGATTCTTTAAACAATGAAGGAATACCCATGGGGAAAATTATTATCATAAAATTATTCTCCATCAAGCCTCTGAAATTAGGAACTCAGAAGCCTTCAAGTTGTGACATTATTGGCCATAGTACATAAAAAAAATTTTTAAAGTACCACAGCAATTGCTCACCTCTCTTCCCTGAAGCACTCTAACATGTTATATATTTTGACCTGCAGGAAAATATCATGAAGAAAACAAATCAGATCAAAAAATACAAGAAATTCATTAATAAAATAACAATAATGAATTCCATGGTAGTTATCATTAACAGTGGTTATTTGCAAACAAGTCAGACAATGTGAGGGGGAAAAAAAGAAGTGGGTCACATTAGATTGGGTAGAAAGAAGTGATGGAAGGGAGGGGGAGGAAAAGGGGGGAATGGAAGGACAGCAGAATAAAATAGACATTATTTTTGCTGTGGGTATATACATGACTGCATGACCAATGTAATTCTGCAACCTGTACACTCAGAAAAATGAGAAATTATATCCCATCTGATTCAAATGTATGATATGTCAAGATCACTGTACTGCCATGTGTAGCTAATAAAAAAATACACAATTCAATTAAGTATTTCAGGAGAAACATGAATATATTAGCCCAGGACTCTAAAGAATAGATATTTCAAGATGAACTACAGAACTCAAAAGTGTTATAAACACATCAATATATTTGGTGGTTTTCCTCTTCTCTGCTATCTCCTAGCCTGGTTCAGGAAGGAGGAGTGGGCTTAAAGACAAACCATGAAAGTATTTATCAAGAAACATAAATACGGTATATGCTATTTATAAAAAACCACCTGAAATATAATGATGTAAGTTGGTTAAAGCCCCTTCAGCATGGGATGCAGATGTAGCTCAAGTGTAGAAGACTTGTCTAGTACACATGAGGCCCTGAGTTCTAGCCCCACTATCATCCATACACCCCCACACAAAGAAATAAAATGTAGTAGAAAGATTTATCATGCAAACATAAGTTAAAAGGAAGATAAAGTAGCAAAGAAAGGAAAAAATGAGGAATATTTTCTGTATCCCTTCTCCAAGAAGATAAAAGTCATGAATCTGAATACAACCAACAATAGCTTCAATGAGAAAGAAGCAAAAAGTAGAAGTGATTATCTACAATTTCATATGGATCCTATAACATTCTTCTTTCAGTAATCAATAGTGTGAGTATACAGAAAATCCATAAAAATCCATAAACAACTGAACAAAACCACAACAAATGATCTGACATTCATAGCACATTCTATGCAACAACAGTGGAATATAATAAACATATTTTAAATTCACATGAACATTCACCATGATAGAGCCTATCCTGGGCCATAATGCACACATTAATGAATTTTTAATGCTTGAAGTTTACAAAGTGCATTTTCTAATCAAAATTAAAGAGTAAATGAAAACAGAAAATTGGAAAACCATGCAAAGACTGGCAGTTAATATAATCTAAATAAGCCATGTGGTTTAAAGATATCTCATGGTAAATTAGAAAATATTCTGAATTAAACATAAATGAAAATACACTATGTTAAAATTCATGAGATGCATCTAAAGCAGTGCTTAGAGGGATGTTTATATAGCTAAAACCCTAATATTGGGGGGTGGGAGGTTTAAAAAAAAACTACAACTTCCAAAATAAGATTCAGGCACATTCTTTCAAAGGGTACTTTTGCCCTTTAAAAGGAACACAAGCTTTTACATATAAAAGAAGTAAATGTTATTTTCCTGTGAGATAAGACCTAGAGAAAACAGCCTATTTATTCACATACAGACAAAAGAATGGTAGAGATGGCATCAGATATTAAGCCCAAAGAATGATCCACTGAAGTTTTTACATAAATATTATAAAAAATAAATTTATTTCTGTGACAAAATTCCACTGAACTAACTTATCTTACTATTCTGGAGTGCAAATATATAATGCACTTGTTTTATATATCCTTTCTGGATCTTAAGAAATGTTTAAGGACAAGGAAATATTTTGTATTCAAATCAACATTAATTATATGCCATTTCAAACAAAAGCAAAAATTTGTAAGGATTATTAGATTCATAATGATTGGACAACCAGATGTGAGGCAAAGGAATGTTTATGACTTCATTTTTAAATTTGTTTCTACAATAAGAATATTTAATAGAATAGTAATATCTAATTATTCATTGTACATAGATTATTGTCTGCCTTTAAATATGGAAGAAATGATCTAAAATGTTTAATTCTCTTTCAAAATGACAAACATACTAACCATAATCTTACCCTAAGAGAACTGAAAATATATATACAAAAATTTCCGCATAAATTCCAAGCAGGGATATTTATCATAATCAGAAACTGGAACAACCCAAGTGTCCATTCACTAATGAATAAATAAATGTATGGCATATCTATATAATAGAATACTATTCACCCATCAAAAGGAACCGAGTTCAGGGGCTGGGAATGTGGCTCAAGAGGTAATGCGCTCACCTGGCATGGGCGAGGTGCTGGGTTCGATCCTCAACACCACATAAAAGTTAAATATTGTGTCCATCTAGAACTAAAAAATAAATATTAAAAAAAGGAACCGAGTTCATATACAAAGTTTGACACAAGCAAACCTGGAAAAAAATATGTGAAATAATCCACGGCAAAAAATTTTCCTTTAATGTAAATTTCTCAAATGCTGATACATACAATGGCAACTAGAATCAAAGTATTTGGGCATTTATTCCACACTTAATATACTGTGAATATACAAAAGTGTTTGGAGCCATTTTCTCAAACAATTCCTCTAGTTACATTATCTTTTATATTATTTTGATCTAATTTCAGATTTCAGAATTTGACCCATAATTTCTGGATAATTTTCACCTGAATAATATTTTCTAGTATTTTACTACATATAGTTCCATCTCTCTCTTCTCACATTCTCTAGAATTTCTTTCAAAAATATGTACATGCATCTATCATTTTATCTAAACAACTTCAAAATTCTAGCTATGATATACCTCTGACCTCCTTGTTACAAAGCCTTAATATCATTATCTAAGTTAAACATTTACATCATACTATAATGACAGACTTTCTTCAAATTTGTCCAATTCTTTTCTATCCTTTATAGAAATCCTGAATCAATATTGCATTCAATTCTATTTAGTGTGAAATAATCTAGATAATTTACTCAGCAATATTAATGTTTGTCGACTAAGAGTAGAATGTCACTGAATTTGGGTCTGATGTTTCCTCACAAGTATATTCAGTTTATGTCAGTGATACCACAGAAATAAAACTGGGTTCTTCTCAATAAATCCAAATGTAATGTATCACCAATGTTTCTATTGTTGGTTGTATCACACATAACTTCTTTATTCAGGTAGTGTCTATCAGGTATTTTACCATGAAATTACTATTTTCCTTTTATAACTTTGTAAATTACCTCATGGAGCAGATAATTGCATACTATGGAAATATCCTGTGATTCCTCAAATTTCCTTGCAAATTTTAGCTTCCTTTGATGGTTCCTAAATGAAAAACTTATGCTTCTTACCAAATATTGATTTAAAAAGAAAAAAAAAAAAAACCTCTATTATTTCCTTTGTAATTGAGGGCTTTCTATTATTAAGACAGCTTTATCTTCTACCCTACTTATTAACTCATTCACGTTAATTTAAAAATACTATAAACATCTTACCACCATTAACCACTTTTTCATCCTTCAAGAGGTTTACGGTATCCAAATATCCCGAAATGGTATCAGTGAAAACCAAAGGTGGTTCACTGTTTCTGTCCAATGATCCTTCTTGAGGGATGAAGTTTCACCCATCTCTGACTGCTTTCTCTTTCTATATTCATCTTCCTTCTCTGTTATTCTCAATGTTCCAGAGCCCCAACTGCAAAAATCTTATACAATCAATCTCCCTCCCGTGTTCATATACCAGAAAATAAAAAGGTGGAGTAACAATAGCATAGCACAATCTTTCCATTACAAATTAGTCAAAGTTTTAAATATATTTCAATAACTGTTGTGACACAGTGAAACAAAATTTCTGTCATTATTCCAGTATGTTTAGTTAAAATCAGAGAACTGCTAAGTAATACAAATGAGAAAACAAAGCGTTGACATTACAAAAGGGTTAGAATGAACGAAGATAACTGAGGAAAAGTGAACTAATTATAGAACACATTTTCAAATGTGTTTAGACCCTAGAACATAGGTTCATAAATTACATTTGGAAAAAAATCCCAACAGGAGTGTTATGACATTAAAGTCTACATTAGCTGTCAATTATTTCTTTTAATTTTTTTTAAAGAGAGAGAGAGAGAGAGAGAATTTTTTAATATTTATTTATTTATGTTTTAGTTTTGGCGGACACAACATCTTTGTTTATATGTGGTGCTGAGGATTGAACCCGGGCCACACTCATGCCAGGCGAGCGCGCTACCGCTTGAGCCACATCCCCAGCCCTCAATTATTTCTTTACTCAGGAATTCCCAATGGCCTTTTTGTTGTTTTTGACCTTGTTTATAGCTTGAGATAACCTATCTTTAGGTCTAATCAAAAGTCAGTTCCCTTCAGTTAGTGGCTTCTTTTTGATTTGCCACTTTTCTTTGGATTTTAATCTTCAATCCCATAGTATTTCAGAATTTTGGCCCCAGAAACACAGTATTCCATATCCTAGATAATGGCGCCCTATATTTCTAGAGGTCGAACCTCATAAAAGTTTATACCATGGGATTTTTTAAAAACCATGTCTTCTTTACCAGTTTCTCCTGTACTTTGAATATCCCAACACTTTAATCCTGAGAATCTGCACTTAACATTGAGCATTAGAGACACAGAGAAAATGAAAATCACCTCTGACACATACATTCTTCCACAAAGCATGGTTTTGATCAACACATTAGGAAATTATGTTTAAATATTATCATTTAAAAGTTGTGACAACTACAAATTTTTATTATCATTCAAATGTTGTCCATCTTTCTTTCTTCCTTTTTTGATGAAGAAAAATATACTATAGTCACTGTTCAAGGAGGAGTGATAACATGAATGCTGCTGAGAGACAACATTATGATTTTAACTGGGCTAAATGGGAAAAGAAACAGGTAAGATTAGAAACTAATTACTTAGGAACCTTGCAGATGAAATTTGGAAGAAACAGGTTCAATTGTGAAATTTAATTAGTTACCAGATGTAACTAAAAAAGTTTTACATTACTGCTATACCTTACATAGTGCTTGTTTACATTGTTTTAAACAATGACGTTGGTATATGATAGTTAATTATATCACTTTCTTATGAATAGATTTCCCCAAAGTAGCTAAAAATACTTTTCTTGAAAATAAAATGCAAAATTACTCTAGGATATTTTTAGCGTGTAGTTACATTAAGTTGATTTTCTTTCAATTGAACCAATGCTGTAGTTCAAGGATTTTTAAACTCTAGTCCACAGGCTGCTATTGTAAATAAAGTTTTATTAGAATACAGTTTCAGCATGTTTATTCAATAATATATTATCTACGACTGTGTTCATAATATAACAGCAGGGTAGATTAGGTGCAATAGAGATTAGAAGATATTCAAAACTTAAAATGTTAATTTGGTCCTTTGTAGAAAATTTTCCAATACATGATCTAGTTTAACAAAGGCTTGGGTGATCATATAACTTAAACTGAGCTTTAAAATATGGAAGGATAGACCTGGGGTTGTAGCGCAGTGGTAGAATGTTTGCCTTGCATGTGTGAGGCCATGGTTCAATCCTCAGTGCCACATAAAAATAAATAAAGATATTGTGTCCATCTACAAATAAAAAATATTTTTTAAAAACTATGGAAGAATAGGAGAACTGAAAAGACAGAGCCATCATTTTTACACTAAGATTTCTCATGTCAAGACAACACAGGCCGGGCCTGGTGGTGCACGCCTGTAATCCCAATGGCTAGGGGGGCTGAAGCAGGAGGATCGCGAGTTGAAAGCCTCAGCAACTAGGAGTCACTATGCAACTCAGTGAGACACTGCCTTTAAATAAAATACAAAATAGGGCTGGAGATGTGGCTCAGTGTTGAGTGCCCCTGAGTTCAATCCCTGATAACACCCCTCCCCGCAAAAAAGACAACACAGGACACATCTCTATTTTGCTTTTACAGATTGAGCATAGAAACAAGGCCAGACTTCCTGTTCTGCACAGTCCCTGAATTTATTTGACAGAGAGAGAGAGAGAGAGAGAGAATTTTTTAATATTTATTTTTTAGTTATTGGCAGACACAACATCTTTGTTTGTATGTGGTGCTGAGGATCGAACCCGGGCCGCACACATGCCAGACGAGCGCACTACCACTTGAGCCACATCCCCAGAACACAGTCCATGAATTTGTCCCTGAATTTGTTCTCGTGGGTCCCCAAGCTTTCTTTTTCTATAAAACATCACCTCACAAGCCACTGTCATCGATGTCCTCTTACATGGGGTTGACTCTTCGCTCTCCATTGCTATGCACTCCTACCTCTCATGACCAATGACAAAGATAGATGATAGACAACAAATGAAGATAGATGATAGATAACAGATGACAAAATATTTCTTAGAAATTTAAATGGGTAAAAATAGACATAACAAGACCAAACAGGTTTTTTTTCTAATAACTGAACACTTTTTGTTTCACAGAAGCTTATTTATCTTATCTCAATTGGAAAAATGTTTCTGAATTTCTCCCATGACCATAGAAAGACAGTAACTATCTTTTAGTGATGGTAAACATCATTAAACTATGATAGCTTCCTTTTCTTACTGACATGTGGGAATTATTACAAAAGTGAACTATTCAAACCAAACAGATACAGTCACAAGATAAATGTTATCTTCCCCCTCAATTCAGAGGTTGTGAGGTATCTATGTCCCACTAATCTTTAATTAAAAGATACAATTTTAAGAGCTGGACCAATGGTATATTAAAAAAATATATATCAAATGTCTATCACACAATTTACCAAATAATCCCTAGCTAACATTAACTGTTTTTAATATATTAAATGAAAACTATTTCTATCATCAATTCTCTCCTAATGTTTTACCCTACTTTTTTCTATAAACAGTCATCTATTTACTCCCTAACTCATTCTTTCACTATAAATAACATGAAGGCCAAAATTAGCTATTTAAGAATATGGAATGACTAGTTTCTATATGACTTTCCAGAATAAGGGAAAATTATAAACAAAACCAATTCCTTGTCAAAGAAGATCATTTTATTTAAAAAAAAGTAAAACAGAAAAGCAACACAAAAACTATTTAGTTAATAACTTTTCATAACTAATCTTTGTTAAATTATCTATCACATTCTGCTATACCAGCCAAAATGTCTGTTTTATCTATTTGCTACAACTACTCAAAGAAAGAAATGGTTACATTTTGCCTTTTAGCTTTACACAAAAGCCACTCACCTCCGATGACCAGGGTTATCTACCACATATATCTATATCAATTATTCTCCCTTCTGAAACAATCTAAACAGATCAGAGCTCAATCCTTATGGAGGAAGTCATAAAAGCAGCTTTCTGAA